TCAGAAATACCACACCGCTCTTCCATACAGAAACCTGCAGGTTTAACTGGCTGACTTCCAGTGTTTCTCACCTTCTTTGATACTTTAAAATTACTGATCCTTGTCTTGCCTAGTCTATCGAGTCCTATCTCATTTCTCTTCTTTTTCAGAACATCCCCTGTCTATACTCGCACTTTTTCTCTCAATTGATGCTTAAAATTATTTTGCAAGTTGGAAAAAATGCAATTTTATTTCATTTGCACCAAATTTATTAGATTAAACTAGGAGACAATAAATCTCTTTAAATGTGAGTCTTCTTATACAACTACAGGTATGTCATTCAATTTTAATCAAATTGTTATGTTGGGGTACTGCTACTGTAGGTTTTTTCATTACTCATTGCCAGGTATTTCATTAAAATTCCAAAAATTACGGTTTTATTTTTAAAATAGTTAAGTATTTTCATAATACATGGGGTTAACAAGTGCCCTTTGTTATTTGTTCATATTAACCTTGTTTAGTGTATTTTACTTATGAGTTATTTTAGGAAACTTTAATTGTAGATTTCAACCAAATTTTCTGGCATGTTTAATAAAATGTCTTTTATGTGTTAAAAAAAAAAAAAAGAAATACCACACTATGAATGGGCATAATTGTGAAGTGAAAAAGGTCCTTTCTAAACAAGAAATGCAGTCTGCTGGGTCGCAAAGAGGCCGCGGAGTTGGGTCTGGTAACTTCATGGGTCGTGGAGGAAGCTCTGGAGGTGGCGGAGGTAACTTCGGCCGTGGTGGAAACTCTGCTGGAAGAGGAGGTTATGGTGGGCGGCAGCAGAGGTGTTGTGGAGGCGGTGATGGTGGGTATAATGGATTGGGAGGTGATGGCAACTCTGGCCGTGGTCCTGGCTGTGGAAGGGAGGAGGCTGTGGTGGTGGAGGGCCAGGGTGTGGAAACCAGGGCGGAAACCAGGGTGGTGGATATGGCGGCGGTGGAGGAGATGATGGTTACACTGAAGGGGAAATTTTGGTACCTATGGTGATGGTGGGAACTATAATGATTTTGGAAATTACAGCGGACAACAGCAATCAAATTACGGACCCATGAGAGGGGCCGGTTTTGGTGGAAGAAGCTCGGGCAGCCCCTATGGTGGTGGTCATGGATCTGGTGGTGGAAGGGGTGGATATGGTAGCAGAAGGCTCTAAAAACTCAGCAGAAAAGGGCTACAGCTCTTAGCAGGAGAGCAAGGAGTTGTCAGGAAAGCTGCAGGTTACTTTGAGACAGTCGTCCCAAAAGCATTAGAGGAGCTGTCAAAATCTGCCACAGAAGGAGCGATGATCCATAGTCAGAAAAGTTCCTGCAGCTTAAACAGGAAGCCCTTCTTGTTCAGGACCGTCATAGCCGCAGTTTGCACAAAGTGCAGCTATTGATTAATGCAATTTAGTGTCAATTAGATGTACATTCCTGAGGTCTTTTATCTGTTTTAGCTTTTTCTTTTTCTTTTCATTACATCAGGTATATTGCCCTGTAAATTGTGGTAGTGGTACCAGGAATAAAAAATAAGGAATTTTTAACTTTTCCAAAAAAAATATATATATATATAATGTCCTGACCAGGAATCAAACTGTGATCGCCTGGATCCTAGGTTGATGCTCAACTGCTGAGCCACGGGCGGCTGGGCCTCTTCTTTTTAAAAAATGAGAAAGTAGCTATATATATTTTTAATCCTCACTGGAAGATAATTTTTCCATTGCTTTTCAGAGAGAGTGGGAGAGGGAGAGAGGCAGCAATGTGAGAGAGACACATTGGTTGCTTCCCACACGTGCCCTGACTGGGGCAGGGGATTGAGCTGGGACCGAGGTACTTGCCCTTGGCCAGAATCAAACCCGGGACCCTTTAGTCCACGGACCGACGCTTGGACCCACTCTCTAACCACTGAGCAAAACTGGCTAGGGCATGCTGTTGATATTTTAATAGGAATTGCATTGAATCTATAGATTGCTTTGGGTAGTATGGGCATTTTAAAGATATTAATTCTTCTAATCCATGAATAAAAGGAAGTTTCTTAAAGTGCAGTCCAGGGAGCCAGCATTAGAGTCTCCTGCAGTTCCTATTACAAATGCAGAGTCCTGGACTGACTCTAGAGATACTGGACCTGCAGGTCAGGTGGAGCCCAGGGCTCTGGTTTGTAATGAACTCCACCCCACCCCACCTCAAGGAGGTCCTTCCTTGAGGATCTTCTTAGCTCAGGGTTCTTGGCTATGATGAAAGAACACAGTCACTTTCTTAAAAGCCTCCTACCATGTCTGCTTCACAAGGGTTAGACATTCATGGTATCATTTACTCTCTTTCATCCGCTATTTCCGATAATACTGTCAGCAAGACTCAGACGTGCACCTTTGAGCGGTGTTAGCAGATTCTCGGTCGCTGCAGATGCCCCCCACCACTCCTTGCATCATCTCTATTTTGTGATGTTAGGAAAGCCGACCCAAAACCACACTGCCTGTTTCTCCTGTTCTCTTCCGTGCCCCCTGCTTCCTCCTGCAGGCCTGCAGGTTGCCTCTGTCTCCTGTGTGGTAACAATGTGGTTTCCATTAAAGTATCACATGTTCACTGTGCGAGCTGGCACTTAAAGGGGGACAGTCAGCATTTGAATGCCTTTCCCATACAAACCACTTTTCAGGGTAACCCACAGCCTTGATGAGGAAAGCTGGTTTTTTTGTTTTTGTTTTTTTAATAGTGCTTTGTTGTTGTTTTTTAATATATCTTTATTGATTTCAGAGAGAGGAAGGAAGAGGGAGAGAGAGAGAAACATCAATGAGGAGAGAGTCATCGGTCGGCTGCCTCCCGCACGCCCCCGCCTGGGGACTGAGCCCGCAACCCGGGCCTGTGCCCCGACCGGGAATCGAACTGTGATCTGCTGGATCCTAGGCCGACGCTCAACCGCTGAGCCATGCCGGCAGGGTGGAAAGCTGTTTTTTACTGAAGAATTCCTGCTAACAAATGAGGACAAAATAATAGAATTTGAAAAATCAACATTTCACAGTCCTTCATGAAATAATTGACTCAGGCAGAACTCATCTCTGGATTAAGTCATCAGCTGGAAGGGTGAGGGTGATGGGGGATCCTCACGAAGGAGGGGCGGCTATGCCATCGGCCCTGAGCCGCCGCTCCGGCTCTGCTCGCAGGGGCGGGCGCAGTAGGAAGCACAGCGCCTGTGAAGGAATCTTGTCCCCTCAAATGGAGTCTGAATCCGATCAAACCTTCAAGTCTGAAAACTGGAAATACAAGGGATGGAGGAAGTTAAGTGACACTCTGAGGAGGCAACTGAGAAATCCGAAGTGGAGTGGTCTAAAGGAGAAATGACTCTGCGTAGATGGTAAGAAAAAAGAGGCAGTGGGACTACTGTAGGCTAAACTCAGGAGACATCAAAATCAACTACAAATAAGACATTTTTGAGACATGATGAAATTTAATATGACTGGTTATTAGAAGACACCAGTGTTATTGTTCGTGTTTTGGGTGTGCAATGGCATTATGGTTATATGACAAATGTTCTGTTTTTATTTTTTTATTTTTTATTTATTTTTTAAAAATATCTTTATTGATTTCAGAGAGAGGAAGGGAGAGGGAGAGACAGAGATAGTAACATCAATGATGAGAGAGTCATCGATTGAGCCCACAACCTGGGCATGTGCCCTGACCGGGAATCGAACCCCAATCGCCTGGACCCTAGGTCAACGCTCAACCGCTGAGCAATGCCCGGCCGGGCACAAATGTTCTGTTTTTAAAAATGAGGTGCATATTAAGAATGAAGGGGGAATGTCATGAGGTCTGGCATTTGCTTTAAAATACTTAGGCAGAGGGAAGGGACAGAAAGAGGTATCAGAAGCTGTGTGGCAATACCTTGGTAACTGTTCAAACTAGATGTTTGGTACATGGGGCTCATTAAGCTATTTACTTTTGAGCTTTTGAAAAGGTCTACAAATAAAAAGTTGAAGTATGACATTATTGATCACAAATTCTGGATAAAATATAACAAAATTACACCTTGTCTTTGCACAGTGCAATTATTCCACTTCTATCAGGTAGGGTAAGTTACCCTAACATTTGCTAGAGAAGCAGTTGAAAGTGAAACAGACTTCTAACTGCAAATGAATGTGGCCCTCAACTCTTTATGTGAGATATTCTTTTTAAAAAAAATTTTTTTTAAAATTGATTTTAGAAAGAGGAAGGAAGAGAGAGAGAAACATCAATATGAGAAACACGGATCAGTTGCCTCCTGCACGAACCATGACTAGGGATTGAACCTGAAACCTGGGTATGTGCCCTGACTGGGAATGGAATCCACCACCCTTTGGTGCACAGGACAATGCTCCAACCAAGCCACACTGGCCAAGGCGTGAGATATTCTTACCATGTCATCCAGGTGTTATATTTTCTTTCCATCGGGAGGAAAGCTGTGGCTCCCACTCACCTGCAGCCACCCAGGTTCTTTCCCCAGCATCTGCTGGAGAATGAAGATGCTGTTTTCTCCCATAATTTGTCCCAGTGTTTATTCTCTGCCAGGCTGGCCTGGGACAGGCATGCCATCTGCACTGTACACACCTGCTCCCTGCCTCATGGAGGGCAGTGCCCACTCATCCTAGAAATAACAAACATAGCAGGTTTCATATGTCTTATGGAATCCCCTCCAACTGCACCCATGAGGGTCAATCTTTTCCGTGATGAGAAAGGATGTGGAAGGGAGTTTGATTTGCCAGCCAGATACTCAAGGCCAGTGCACCAGCATCCCTGGCAGAACTCATTCCCAGCCCCATGCATTCCCAAGGGACACAGACATGAAGATGGGCACTGACAGAGCCACACACTCTACACATGTTCATTCTCCTTCATTAAAAACATTTTGATTCATAAATAGTCAAGGTCAGTGGTGCATCGAGTCCCTTACCCTGAGAGCAAACACCCTGCCCTCCCAGGTCCTTTGCCACTCTCTCCGAAGCCACTGTCTTACCTCAGACAGGAAGCTCAGCCTTCCTCAGTTCCCTGAGTTCACATTTATTCAATTCTATAGGCCCAAGAAATGGACCAATCAATGTCCTGGGAGGGCAGAAAGGTGGGGGCCAGGCCCAGCAACCTGGACATGGGAAGGAAGAGCTCCCAGGTGGGGCAGGACTTCCTGTGCAGGAGAAGCCAGGTTTTCAGTTCTAACGAAGTAATTTCCCTGTCAAAAGTTGATTTTGCAAAAGGCTAGAGTCTAAAGGAAGGTGGAACTGTCTTTTGGGCATGCCCAGCAGACCCTCTGCAGGCCCTTGGTCCTGAAGGCTGAGTTTGGGCTTCCACCCCTGTGGCAGGCGTACAGTTCAGAGTGTCCCATACACGCTGACTTTAGCCAGGGAGATGCTCTCTGTGTAGTAATTCCGGCCTTTCTCATACAGGATGAAGAGCTGGGGGGCCTGGTCCTCCCCACCCACAGTGCCCTCCAGGGCTGCCAGCGATGAGTAGCCACTGGGCCCTGGCCAGAGCTGGACCGTCTCTTTCCTCCAGGAGGTGCCATTGCTGAAGCTCCAGCGCAGGGTCAAGTTCACTCCTGGGAACAGCGGCAGAGTCTTTAACCAGGCTTTCTCTAGATAATGGGCTCCTTACCCCCCCCCCC